GGTGCCTCGGCTTGCCCGTTCCAGGGCAGGCAGCCGGGGGTCCTAGTCCCGTCTCTGGTGCTGTTGCTGTGCAGCCCTGCTTGTGCTGCTCAACTTGCTTGTAGAGGAGGTGTGACAAAATGGAACAGTACTGAGCTGCTGCAGATGAGATACTCGGACTGAAAGTGCGGTTCTAGCCGGCCGGTGGCGGGTTTCATTCTGCTGCACAAGGCGGTGCCACAGAAGCGGGCTGCCGCCACCGCGCTGTCCTGCTGGAATGGATTCGTGGTAGAAGAGAAATGCGTGCTACGTGTTGCTTTGAATCGCCTGTTCTTCTGTAGAACCTGGGCAAAGCTGTTTGCGAACGGTCCTGAAGACAATTTATTTGAAGCTTTTCTGTATTTTAATCAGTTCTTCTGAACTGGCTTCCCTCTGGGAAGGTTTCTTGGCTTTGAGTTCGCACTAAGAACTGCAGGTTGTTTTTTTTTTTCCTTACAAAAGTTTTAGTTGGTAAGGTAACAAAGCTGTTTAAATAACAAAACCTCTTGAATGTTACAGAGGACTTATTTGTGTTTATGATAAAGTCTCACTTCGTTAAAATTGTGTGCATTTCCTTGGAACTTGATTTATCTCTGCTTAATTGCTTAAGTGTAGTACAGTATAGCTCTTTCTATAGGAGTTTGGTTTCCAGATTTTTTTCACTTGTGGAATGTCCGAACACTTGGTTGAGATATCAGCCTTTATATATAAAACTGTGAAAAAAGTTTATTTAGTTTTACTTTATCAACTCACTGCAAATGCTTGTGGACATCCCATGGGCCTGCAGGCAACAGGCTGAAGAATCAGTGTTATAGATTGTTGTTGTTAAAGGCACCAGTTTTAGGATTTGAGACCTCTGATTGCTTGAAAGTGACCAAGTCTCTTTACACTGATCTGGAGCAGAGTCTAAATGTACTGTGCTACTTAACAGCTGTTACGAAGAGAATAAATTCATTAAAAACTAGCCAATAGTATTGCTTTCTATGAGCAATAATATAAGGATAACTTTTATTATTTAAAGAGATGATGGGAGAATGATATCTTTTAAAGTCAGATTTGGAGACTAGTTTGGAAGGAGTAGGTTTTCCTGGTAATGAAAAAAAAAAATTTTAAGCTGATGCTAGTGTCTTGCAGAAATACCTCAATAATGCATTTTTGCATTGCTTTGTATTGCTCCCTCCCCTCGAAGTAAGGCAGAAGTTTTTAATTTTTTTTTTTTTAAATTATGTACCTTTTTTGGTCTGTTAGTGAAGACCAGAACCATTCCAGGTATGGAAATGGTGGAAATGGGAGTGGAATGGAAAATGAGGGTTGAAGTTAACTTTAAATCCTTGATTGAGTGAGAGGAGAGAAAGGAGTTGTTCTGCAGCCTCGGACTAGCCTGAAAGAAAGCTTGTAATTTAAAGCGTGCCCTGTGCTCTATCTGTGCTTTCTGGCAGCATCATTCCCATTTCACATATCTCTTTCTCTTTTCTTCATGGTTGCTGCTGCTGCTTTAAAATTTCTCTTTCTGTCTTCTTGTTAACTTAGTCTCCTTGCCTTTTCTCACAAGCTAGTTTCAAAAACGTGCTATTTCTTTCTGATCCTTTTCCTTCAAAAGATTCACACTGTCTGCCACTTCTCACTCCTTATTGTCCGCTCACCCTCAGCAAAGTTGTCTCTGGCAAAGGGAAGCAGGAGGCAGTCTTCCAGAAGGACAAGGTTGCTCTTAGTTGCCAGGAGCCCTGTAGCGAGAACGTGAAGTGGTTCTCTGGCAGATCAGTAGGAGCAGCGAAGGAGACAACACAGCTTGATCTAGCTAGTATTCTAGTGACAGTGCAACACCAGGTGAAGGTTATTACAGTAGAGGGAGTCAAAGGCCTGACAGGAGAGGTTGTAACAGGAAATGTCTGGGGGTGAAACTTCAGGTAGAGTGCCTGATTCTGTTCCCTGAGGGAGATGGTCAGTGAAGGGAGCTGAAGAGGAACTAGCAGTTCCACTCAGGATAATTGTGGTGGCAGGGGCTCTGGATAAAGGACCTGCCATCTGCCAGTTCAGGTTGTCAGGAGCTGCTGGACTCTGAGCACAACTCTGAGACACAACTAAGACCCTACTGGGAAGGTAATGGTTGCCAGTAGATGCCAGGGTGAACTTCAGGGTGGAAGGGTCAAACAGCCAGACCCATGAACAGTGGGAATTGTTGTGCCCCCCAGAGGCGGGTACATGAGGTGCCTGGTAAGAGTTCAAAGAGGGAATGCCTAGCTGGTACTGTTCACCAGCTCCTTTAAGCTTGCTCTGTTATGAGAAGAAAACTTGGACACTTGCTCAGTTGTATCATCTGCTCCGAGTCCTTTGTCTGCCTCATCCTGGCAGTGGTCAAGACTGCCATTTCAGATGAAATACAGAACTGGAGGGACATTGCAGGTTAATATTGTTAAAATGCCATGCTTTGTAATCTTTACTAGACAAAACAGGAGAACCATTATCTGCTGGTGGCTGGTTTGTCTTATGTAGAGCTGTATATTTTAGTAGAGATTATAATGAGGTATAATAACAATACACTGATGCAGGGTAATGAAGCAACTTCAAGTGTTCGTGTACACGTATGCCAGAACTGCCAGGTGCTGCAATTGTCACGGTATTTATAATAGCAGTCTTCCAATGCGGTTAGTATGAGCTTTCCTTGTCCTTTCCTTCTCCCTACCACAGCTTGTGCAATGTTGTTTGCTCTATTCCAATGGTGCAGAGGGGTGGATTGAAAGCAAGTAAAGGAAGCAAAATTTTGCAAAAGGGGAAGGAGAGGTTTCATGGCTTAAGCACTGTCTGGAAGAACTGGATTCTTGTTAATCTCCTTTGTTTCCTTTGTGATACTAGATGCATTACTTCAACTAGACCTGTCACAGGAAATTGCTAATTGTGTATCCCTTCTTTGCTGGGTACTTGCTCTAGTGGATTTTGAGTTACAAGAATCCTAAGTGTTTACAAGTTCAGTCAAGGGAAACTAACGCAAAATACCTTGGAAATTGGTGTCCTTACTTGTAATCATGGTTAACATCTTGTCATTTGGTAGTGCTCAGGGAAAAGTGAATCAGCATATCTTCTATATTGAATAGGGCTGAGATTCACGAGAAGTATAGCAGATGGTCTGTTGTGGGGTGTATGGAGAAGTCTGGACGATACAACCTCTCTACTTTTTTTTTTTTTTTTTTTTTGTGTTTTTTTCCTTCCAGGCTTCTCTGTGGACAAAGTTACGGCTTTTCTCCATTGTAGATACACTCACTAATAGTCTTTTCCCTTCTTGGGGAACCATGTTTTGTTCTTGATCTGTAATAATGATCTTCTGCCAGCAGGTAGGGAACAGTGGCCTTCAGTTCTTCTAAGTCACAGTCTGAGAATTTTGCACAATGGAGAGTGGGCTGTCTGTCTCTTGCACAAGGAAATTGTGTTAAGATTGTACAGGACAAAGAGGAGTTAGGGTTGGGGGCGGGTGAGGAGAGAAATATAGATGGAAATTTACTGATATTTAACCAGTTTTCCCCCCTCCTCCCTTCCTTTTGACTTACAGATACCCTTGATTTGCAGAAGGCATCTCAAAATGTTGTGTCGAGCTGCTCTGAGCCCTCTTGTCCGTTCCCCTGGATGGTGCTTTGTGTTATCACCACATTCCATCGCAGCCATTTCCCGTTTATGTATGTATGAGAGAAAGCACACATTTCTAATAATGTTGGTCAGTATATGTCTGGGCATGCCTATGCTCTTTCCTATGTTGAAAGGAAAATCACCTCATTAACATCATTCAACACTTAAAACCTCTGGAGTGAGCCGCAGTTGAAGCTCTACTTTCTTAATGTTACTTTCTCCCTTATAATATTCAGCTGGATGTCTGAGAGGGTGTATTTTTCATTCTGATGTGCATTTCAAGGAAAATAGTCCATTGTGAAAGTACTGGTACTGTAAAAGTTCTTTACTTCAACCTCATACATTCCTGGAAGACAAGATCTGATTATGCCTGCTCCCCCATCTGCATTTTCAGCCCACAGATGTCTTGAGTAAAGCAAAGTGTGAAGCTCAAATTTATTCAGATTAGATAAAAGTGGAAAGATGCTTTCCAGAAACATGAGTGTAAGTACATAGGTGCCCTCTAAATAGTTGTTCCCTGAAAACCTAACTTGAGAGAACCATTCACTGGCTATTTGATTAGCGGAAATAGAGAAGGCAAGGATAGATAGACTCTGTTAGATCAAGAGATTAACTGTTTACCGTTGCATGCAAGATTAATTTCCCATTGGCCTGTGTGTTAACAGTTCTCTTTTGTTGATATTTATATGAATTAATAAATGTTGAAATCTTGAAAATGCTAAACTTGTTTTTGCTGAGCTATAGCTCTGTTGAGTTCTGCATTTGTAATATTTCTAAGTATTCCACGTTTTCCAAAGTCAGTAAACTACTCATAGTATCCAGTATTGGAGCAACTCTAGTTACTTCATCAGTTGCATTCTAAAACTGGATTGAGCGTTTTATCACAGTTTTCTTTTGTTCTCCACAGTTTCTGTTGTGATCCTGTTCAGCTCATATGTATTTTGAAATTCTGCTTCTTTACTCCTGAGAAGCAAGCCTCATGCAGGTTACATACAAGTATCTGCAGTGCCAAATACTTAAGTCTTTTTCATACGTTTCCCGTTCTTTATTAAGGAGATGAAACTGTTGACAAGGTACTGGATATAAAAACTGGAATGCCTAGAAACCTATTTGTCCAAAAAGTTGACTGGATGGCTATATCAGTTTCTCCGTAATTGCATATGAAGCAAGTTAATGGGCTTGCATCACCAGAAAAGTTACGCATGTGTAACATGGGAGCTGATTTCGCATCTCAGTCCGGTCTAAAATAACTAAAAAAAATAGGTTTATGCAGTCATAGAGCAAGGTTAGCAATTAGGACTTTAGTGGAGGTGAATGAAATTCTCTGCTTGTTCTAGAACCATTGTCTTTTTCCTTGTTTTTCTGAAAAAAAAAAAAAAGTGGTTTCTGTTCAGATCCTGGTTATCCCTCAACAGCTGCCTTCTTGGAACCTTCTAAACCCTGAAGCTGTGGCCAGGAGAATTGGAAAGAAATTGGGTTTACTCCTTTCTGGTCATACTGTGTGGGATAGGCAAATACTGTATAGTAATGTATAATGATGGAAGGAACAGTTAAATAGGACTCCTTCACCTATTCTTTCGTATGTATTGTAGGCCTTCCTTACATTTACAAGTATTCCCTCATGAAAATGAGGGGCAAATGAAACTCATCTCCAGATTCCATTTTCTACTTTTATATGCATGACGTGTTAGTGCAGCCCTCAGTTATGATTAATCATTTAAGCTTCTTCTGTGTGTATAATGAACAAAAGATTTATTTATTTAAAACATTGTTAAATGACAAGTTTCTCTTTTCTGTAGCACTGTGTTCATTCCTGCCTTTTTCCAGCAGAAGTAACGCCCAGAATAGTCACTTTAGGTTATAAATGAATCTATTTTGTATTATAGAGCATCAAAATTAGAGACACTGAACAAATTAAATAAAATAGGATAACTCTGACCATGCCGTAGGATTCAGTTTACTGATTTGTGAAGAAGCCTCTATCTCATCTATCAGATGAGATACTGGTTAGCACTGAGTAGAATAGAATAGGTCAGTTGGAAGGGACCTACAACGATCATCTAGTCCAACTGCCCAACCACTTCAGGGCTGATCAAAAGTTATTAAGGACATTGTCCAAATGCCTCTTAAACCCTCTCCAGGAAGCCTGTTCCGGTGCTTGAACACCCTCTCGGTAAAGAAATGTTTCCTAATGCCCAGTCTGAACCTCCCCTGGCACGGCTTTGAACCATTCCCATGTGTCCTGTCCCTGGATCCCAGGGAGAAGAGATCAGCACCCCCCTCTCCACGTCCCCTCCTCAGGAAGCTGCAGAGAGCAATGAGGTCGCCCCTCGGCCTCCTTTTCTCCCAACAAGACAAACTCGGAGTCCTCAGCTGCTCCTCAAAGGACATTCCTTCCAGCCCTGTCACCAGCTTTGTTGCCCTCCTCTGGACCCTTTCGAGGACCTTCACATCTTTTTTAAATTGTGGGGCCCAGCACTGCACGCAGTACTCAAGGTGAGGCCGCACCAATGCTAAATACATCGGGATAATCGCCTCTTTTGACCGGCTGGCCGTGCTGTGTTTGATGCACCCCAGGATGCGGTTTGCCCTCGTGGCTGCCAGGGCACACTGCTGACTCCTATTGAGCCTGCTGTTGACCAGCACCCCCAGATCCCTTTCTGCAGGGCCGCTTTCCAGCCTCTCCTCTCCTAATTTATACTTGTGCTGGGCGTTACTCCATCCTAGGTGCAGAATTCGGCTTTCAACTTGTTAAATTTCATCCCATTAATCATAGCCCAATTCTCCAATCTATCTAGATCCCTCTGCAAGGCCTCCTGTCTCTTGAGAGAGTCAACAGCACCTCCCAGTTTAGTATCATCAGCAAATTTGCTAGCGGTGCAGTCAACTCCTGCATCCAGATCATTGATAAAAATATTGAACAGCACTGGCCCTAGGACTGAGCCCTGAGGAACACGGCTGGTGACCAGTCGGTAGCCAGATGTAGTCCCATTCACTACAACCCTTTGAGCCCTGCTGTCCAGCCAGTTCTTCACCCAGCACACTGTGAACCCACTCATCTCACAGTTGGACAACTTGTCCAGAAGGGTGTTGTGAGGAACAGTATCAAAAGCCTCACTAAAATCCAAAAAAACTACATCCACCACCTTCCCTTCATCTACTGGGCAGGTGACCTTACCATAAAAGGATATTGAATTAGTTAAACAGGACTTTCCCTTTGTGAACCCATATTGTCTGTGTGTGATGATTGCATTGTTCTTTAAATGCCTTTCAATAGCATCCAGGATGATCTGCTCTATAATTTTTCCATGAATGTGTGCCATCTTTTGACTGAGTTGCACTTTAGTGTAGTGTCGGTAGCCATTTTTTCTGTAATTACATCAGAAGTGTTCTCCCTCTTTTTTGCTATACTGGTATTTTTGAGACTGTCTAAGAGTTGACCTGGTTTAATGCAGTTTCTGAATAGTAATACAAGAAGAACTAGACGGAGGATAAGGAAATGTTTCTTTCTTTTTTTTCAAGTAATATGGCTTATCCATATTATATTAATTATCCAGTTGACACACTTGGACTGCAGGTATTCTTATCTGCACGACTCCTTCTTCAGACACAATTCACTGGGGCTTTGCAATAATTCATATGAAGGATGTTGGAAGTGCTTTCATCTGCCTTCATTCCTTCAGCTTAACTTCGGGATTTTATGTGTTTGGGTCCACCTCTTTAGAAAGGATCTAGACTGTTCCTTGTGATTGTACCTTAATAGTCACTATTCTCTTTAATCTGCTGTGCTTTGCAGGCATTTTGAAAACCAAGATTTTGCTGAGAAATATTCCCTAGCTCATTGTCTTGGGCAAAGTGCCAGCCTTATGTATTCTTGTATCTTACCTAAGTCATGCTGTGACTGTCTCTTCTCCCTCCGACGCCTATTTATCCTATAGGAGGGTGACTTGCAGTTCGTATGTCCATCATCCCCCTTCTGCTGCCCCTACTTGAGCAACATGCAAAAATACCTGACTTAGAGATGTTGTAAAAGCTGTGTTTCTTTTCTTTCCTGACAGTCAAGCTTTCTGCGCTACTACAGACAGGAAAACTCTCTAGCTGTATCTAATGAGGCAAGGCAAAGAAGAATGTTTTTAAAACTTGTACTTTTACTTCTGATGTGAGCTGTATGGGCTTTTTTACAGTGTCCTTCAGTTTGGTCTTCTAGATTCCCAGAGTCAAAGCTCTGTGACACATGGAATATTGCCTTATATACCTTAGGGATGGTTAGTGCTGCTCAGATGTTATTGGTTCTCACTTTATTTGGGTGACTTGAAAGCTAGCTTCTCATTCCCAGTCACTGAGAAGTGTGTATTGTGAACTTTAGCCTTGGAAAGGGAGGAAATGTTACATGACTCCAAGGGCTTAAAGGCCGAATGAAACACTTAAAACTGCATTTTTTTTTTTTTTCTTTCTTTAACCACAGATCTCCCTCGCCATAACCAAAGATTAAGGAATGAATCCATCCGTTGTTGGAGCAATATCCCATTTATCACCGTGCCACTCAGCCGTGCACATGGAAAATCATTTGCACACCGCAGTGAGCTGAAGCATGCAAAGCGGATTGTAGTGAAGCTGGGTAGTGCTGTTGTGACTCGAGGGGATGAGTGTGGCTTGGCCCTTGGGAGGCTGGCATCTATTGTAGAGCAGGTAATTCTGTGACTGAAGTGGAATGTTTGTTTTAACTTCAGATATTCGGTGGTTGTTGGATGGCACAGAAAATCTTAAGAAAAACTCATAAAACAGTGATGGCCCTTTAAAGCTATGTGTTGGCCTTTCCCTTTTTCATCCCCCTGTGCTGTGGTAGCATAAACTATGTAACTCAGTAAATTGGTGTTTGAAGGTGTGGTGGGTTGACCCTGACCAGCAGCTAAGCACCCACACAGCTGCTTGTTCGCTCCCCACACCTCCACCCACCACCAGTCAGATTGGGAGGAAAATAGGAAGAGCAAAAATAGGAAAACTCATGGGTTGAAATAAAGACAGCTTAATAAGTGAAGGAAAGGGGAAAAGAAACAAGTGATGCTAAGGCAATCACTCACTACCTCGCACAAGCAGACCACTGCCCAGCTGGTCCCCGAGTGACAGCCACCTTGGAAGACCACCCTCTGCCCTTTCCTATTCTGCTACCCCAGTTTTATTACTAAGCATGACGTATATGGTATGGAATATCCCTTTGGCCGGTTCATGTCAGCTGTCCCAAATGTGTCCTCCCCGAACTTCCTGCCCAGCCCCTAGCCCACCTGCTGTGATGGGACATAGTGGGAAAAAGAAAGCCTTGATGCTGTGCAAGTGCTGCTCAGCATGGGAAAAAGAGAAGGCTTTGATGCTGTGCAAGCACTATTTAGCAACAGGCAAAACATCGGAATGTTATCAGCACTGTTTTAGACCTGAAATCCAAAACACAGCACCGTATGAGCCCCTATGAAGAAACTTAACTCCATCTGAGCCAGACCCAGTATAGAGGGAGAGATTTGCACAGTGAGATTTTTAGGTAAGACATGACTGGGGCATTAGCTGGATCTAGTGGGAAGGTGGCACTGAAGTTTGTGAAGTCTGCAGGAGTAGACCCTTCTCGATTACCTGAGCATTTGCAGATTTCCTCCAGGAGAAAGCTTGAAACCTCATTCCTAGTAAGAAAAAATAATGGGATCAACTCATGGATTGGTTCTCCAGAATGAAATTATGTGATTTGGGGGGTGATTGGACACGTCTTCTCTGGGAAATAAAGTTAACATCATCAATTAAATTCATGTAAGACATTTAGCTTTAGAGCTTTGAAAGGAGTCTAGCCAGATGAGTGTAAGGAAGAAGTAATTAAAAGGTGTACTATCAGAGCTACCTTCTTCACTTCTAGAATACAAAGTTACTGTATAATGGCAGCTTTGGGAATGGATGGTGAATAAGAAGGTTGGTGGAAGGTACAGCTGCTACTTTACAGCTTTTTCATATCTTAACTTTCCTTATCTGCAATGGAGGTGGAGGGCGAGGTTTATAGAAGTGTTACCATGTGATATGTATTGTGAAAATTCAAACATGACTCTGTCATAAAAACTGGTATTGTGAAAAGAAAGTTTAGCAGAAGCTATAAATTGCATGCAGTCCTTTGCATAGCTCCTAAGTGGCTAAGGTGTGCAGGAGCATCTTAGAGAGTGGTTGCCTTGCTTTGTGCATCATGGATAAAGCGAAACACTTGTGTCAGCAAGAACTGGTGAGCGTAAGGTTATGTATGATAGGCAGAACTGTCACGCTAGCAGTGATCGTAGTCCGGGCCCTATTTCCTATGTTCTGTACTTACAGGTGTCAATGCTGCAAAATCAGGGCCGAGAGATGATGATTGTCACCAGTGGTGCTGTAGCTTTTGGAAAGCAGCGGTTGCGTCATGAGATCTTGCTTTCTCAGAGTGTGAGGCAAGCCCTTCATTCAGGCCAGAGTCAGCTAAAAGATATGGTGAGCGGCTGGGGGCACTCCCGCCTTCCCTTGAACGTTGGGTAGTACCTGCTCAAGTCACTGCCTGACAGCTGTTCTTTATCTTTGCAGGCTATTCCAGTCTTGGAGGCCCGAGCCTGTGCAGCAGCTGGCCAGAGTGGACTAATGGCTCTGTATGAGGCCATGTTTACGCAGTACAGCATCTGTGCCGCCCAAGTAAGGGACTCCTCCTTTCCTAGACTGACTTGCTAATTCAGTCAGTGATGGAATTGTTCTTGGATTTTCTCCATGTTTTATATGCTGCTATTTTTACTGTCGTCTTGCATTTCCATTGCCATCCTACTTTTGGGGCTTATTATTGTAGCGTAAATGGTAGCTTATACAGGAGCGCCTTGCTAAGTATTTCTGAAATGGAGTTATCTATTGTCAAGGTGAAGCAAATATGCTTTTTCTTTTTGGAGTTTGTGTGTGTCCTGCTGTTATGTATGGGGAGTGGGAATCTGTTAAGGTCTCTTCACAAAAGCT